AGTTCCATGAACTTGATGTAATATTCAGTTTCAGACACCACTTGTTTCTTTAGTTGACCTCTTGTTTCATTCCTCATATAGTAAATAGGGGAAACAAAACAATCTCTGCTTCGAAGAATATATGTAGGACTATTGTGATATCAAAAATAATTTTCATCTATGAGACACAAAAACCTTTTTAACTGATTATAGGATTAAACTCACTTGAGAGTTATGATTCCCCTTAACACATTCCATTCCATTTAGATTTGATCCAGTTAGAAGTGTTCAACCAACAAGGTGCATAAATGTCAAATAAAAAATGTAAAATACTAAGAGGTGCGACTGTACATGGAGAAAATAAATGTTTATTTCTAAAATTCAGACCACAAGATAGACATCTTTAATGCATACCAAATGTATAATAACATATCCAGGAACTTTTACTACATAAAAGCAAGTTACTTCTTCCCGAAATTGCTATTTATCAAAAATACTTACGAAAAACCAATGTTTGTGCCCATAATCAGAGTATGGATAGAGTTATTCCTAAGTAAAACTAACTGACTTTCCAGGGAACTAGGACGGCATTTTGAATCAAATAGTGGGTTAACATACAGACCGACACACATAAACGAACACATACCCAAAAGAGAGAAGGGCTGTACTAAACAAAAAAGTTTGGAGTATGCCAAGAGAAGTACAAACCTTCAACACTTTGATCACCAATTTGAAAGGTAGAATCATCCACCAGCATGGGCATTAACATTTCAGTCTTGGAGTGCAGTTTCGATGAGGAAATTCTTATAGCATGAGATATCAATGCACCAGCACCAGATTTTCTCATTTCCGATGGTTCTTCTACAACTTCAGTCATAAGTTTCGTAATACCTGTACAATCCAAAGTAAAAAAAATTGTACTCTCGTGGAAGAATTCGAACATAGCATAGCTATAAAAGATAGCAAAAATATAAACATCTGTTCAACCTCCCAGTCCAAGACAATGAACGTGAAGACAGAGCATGCTAACATGAGAATGTCTCAGTTTGTAAGGTGGTTGGTGGACAATGTATTACACATGTCAACATAGGAATCGCATTTCGAACATGTCCAGACCAGGGAAAAGAAAAAAATGATGAAAACCCTCACATGTGGATAACTTTTCAGCCAATGAAGCAATTAATTATATGATAGCTTCTCATACATGTGATACATGCACCGGCAACTATTCAATGCATGTAAAGAGGAACAATTTCCCTATATTGGGCTTGCATATTCAGAAAGTAATAACTGGAAACATAAAAATATGGCCAATCCATAACGTAAGGACCTGGAGGAACATATGCACGGGGATTAGACAGCATTAGTTTTAAAATTTACCAGTCTGTTCTGTAAGGATGATGGTTCATCCAGTATTACAGGATTTTATTGTATATACGTGTGACCTTTTTACCTGGAAACAAACTGAAATATATCTTATCCATCATACGACTTCATATATCTTATACTCTTCACCTCTTTTTAAGATCCATCTAAAATTGGTTTATTTATTTATTATATTTTCAACTAGATAAACAAATAAGAATGCGAAGCAAATAAAATGAATGGGAAAAAAAAAAGGAGAAAAAAAAAACAATACAAAAATCATTACCTTTCTTCAGCTGCTGAACTGGTGCTTTCCTTAACAAAAATGAAACTGACTCGGCCATCAATTCCCGAATATAATCTTTTGGATAGTACCTTAATTTCCTAGTAATTCTGCAAGGGAGGAAAACAAGACTGTGATGAACAGGAGAAAACTTTTTCACATTAGGAATCCCAAACACATGCACATCCATTGCTCGAATATCCTATTAGTTAAATTGTGAAGATGAATGACAGAGAAAGGCAGGACAAAGAAACCCAACTGTTATGGTAATTAATTAGATTTTACATGCTTAAGAAATAGACATAGCAATTAGATGATCATATAATTGGTAGCTTTTGTGTATAAAGCGTTTTATAAGCTTTATTTCATATTAATTGGTCGACATTACTTTTATATGCAAGAATCATGAACGGAAACCTGAATGAATCATCAACAGAAATTTACCAATTAGATGTACAAAAATTCATGCAACACCTTAAATACAAAAATAGACTACCTTAGAACATGACCAACATCTCTTACAAGATACTTCTGCAGGTACATCATGATATACGACCATGATGTTAATATCTGCAACCAATCGTGAAAAAGTCAAAATCATGCACTCGCATAGTTAATCAACAGAAATAAAGATTATACGGTCTAAGACCTGCTCAATTATCTCCGGATCCCTATCAGCACCACTTTCAAGAAGAGATTCCAAAGAATCGGCAATTCTTTGAAGAAAACTGCAACAAAACATGATTAAAAACAAATTATATCATGAAATACACAATTCGTGACTAAGCTATGATTAAATGCAAGACATTTTAGCCTTCTTTTCCAGCCTCGTAGAAATCCCAAAAAAACTAGTACCATAACCTATCATAAAAGCTTGTCACGTCTAGTGAATACAGGTTAATATGAATATTTATCTTGTTCCCAATAGATATCCACAGTTTCCTACATTGATTATTTTTTTTAATTCAAGTCGGAGTCCTTTTCTATCTCCTATTACAGTAATTAAGTTAGACTTCTGAGTTGTCTTGGTTGGCCTCAGTTTTACATTTCATTGTTAAAATCTATTGTAATCCCTCGATTCAGTTCACCACACATTACTGAAGCTCCTTTAGGATTGTACATTGCACCCAAGAGAGATACTTAAGATCATAAGCATATGCAAGTGTAGGCAAATAAAAGAAACTCAAATAGATTGAAAAATTCCTTGTTAACTAGACCTTTAAGATCAACCTAAGAAATAAATACAATAATTACTTATAAACAACAAGCAGATAAAAAGACTTCATAAAAGGTGTCCCCTTTCCTTCTCCTTCTCCTTTCATTGTAGTAATGCAGTCTTCTGGTTCTATGAAATTTTATTATTGGAAAGGTGCTTTTTCCTTTCAAAGTTATGCATATAATAATTTTCATGAATAATGGATCCATAAAGTAAGAGAGGGATATCATGCAGCTGGTGTTAATCTAGCCTCGGGGGAAGAGTAGAGGAAGGAATGGATCGGAATCAACATTTTCAGAAAATTTCCATTTGCTTTTGGAAGTTCAAAACCAATTTCAGTACCATTTCCAAAATCTCCGGAATCTAGAAATCAATCCCAAGTACAAAAGCTTTGAAAATTTCAGAGTCGTATAACTTCTAAAATTTGAAAAGTTCAGGATTTTTTTGGAAAACTCCCATTAATATTAAAAAACACTGGCTTTTATATAAATCAACTGTTTACACATGTAATTTTTTGGTTGAGAAAATATTGGAATTCTGAATTAGTTTCTTAAGCTAAAATTGGATCAGAAATCAAAATTTCCAAAAACTTAAATTTATTTCCAAAATCCAATCCAAAATATACACACAAAACAAAAAAAACATCGGCACAAAAAATATTCGATGATTTCAGATAGGTATCAGCGAAAATAGAAATACCGACTACTTCAGCCTTTCACCCCTAACCTAGCCTGAGGTAAAACTACTCAGTGTTCTCCTTTTGCCTTCACAACATTTTCCAAGACATGTTAATCAGTGAGCAAGATCACCATAGATTGCTACTAACTCATGAATATGTGCCAAAAGAAGATTAAGATTAATGAGAATTATAAGAAAAAATGTTGTGCAAAAAAAAAGAAAGAACTTACGGTACGAAATCCCCCAGAAGATCTCTAGATAAAGCAGCGATCAACCTAGAGCAAAAATATCAAATGCAATTCATAAATAAAAAAGATTTTCAGATATAACTAAAAAAGGATTATAACCAGCAGATCTGATGTTGCAAAACGATAATCAACTTGTGTCACAAGAGCTAGCCAATAACTTTAGGATACATAAAGCAATGAAGAATTTACAGATAAACCAGTAACAAACTATGAACATACATCCACCGTCGTATATCTCAAACAACAGTATATCTCAGACCTTAATGCTTCCAGAAATTGCAAAAAAAATAATCTCTAACATCAAGAAAGTTTGCCCAATCATAATCAAAAGGTTTCAGGTGATCCATAAACCTTGACATAATTTTACTTATGATAAAAGGGAAGGGGAATCAACATGTAGTGCCTACACTTTCAACGTTAAAGAGAAAGAACTGCTACACATAAGTCATAACACACTCTGGATGCAATAATCTCCCACTCACTTTCAGATGCACTAAATACGTCCTATACATTGATCCCAAGAAAAAGACCACTACTCCACAAGGTAAATAATGCAAAATGATCCTTCTCTTAGTTGTATAAAGCAATTTAAAGTTCAGTCATGACTATCTAAATAAATAGCATATAAGTTATAAAATCAACTTGTACAGCAACCAACAGTCTACAAGGTAAGTACTGAAAAATGATCCTTCTGTTAGTTGTTTAAAGCATTTCGAAATTCAGTCATGACCATCGAAATAAAAATTCATATAAATCATAAAATCAACATGTACAGCAACCAATGTACACCTCACTGATCTATTCAAATTTATAACCTATAACTTTGCACTGTGGTGGGGTAGTGTAAATATGGACAAGGCTTCAACCTTACATTCAGACCTGTGAATGAAGCTGTCCAAACCACAGGACAACTATTAACAGTCAAAGGATGTACATGCATGCGATCACAATTCACATGTACCAATGCTCAGAAGGTGATATTAATAAAGGAAGGAACCTCATTTGGTATCCTCATTACATATGAGACAAGCAAATATCGCTTATCTATCAATACAAAGTTGAAGAAATACCTCAGTATAGGTTCATGGGATAATCTCCCTTCCATTTTCAATCTAGACAAAAGGCTTGATATAATCAGATCCTTCTGCAAGATTATTTGCGGTAATGTTTGCACCAGAGGAAAAGTTTCCTCATACAACGATATAAAGTCTTCCGCAGTGTTTAGCTCCTGCATGTCATGACAAAAGTTTCTAATAAAAAAGATGTCGAGTATCGGGAAAGTGAAACTAAATGTTTATCATCCCATCACCACCAAGACAGTACATTTGGAGACAGGCCGTGTAATTTGACTCATCAACAAAATGTAACTGAGCAGTAAACAGACGTTAATGCGATATATTCATCAGAAAGAATCATTTCAGAGAGTCCCTATTAACAATTATGCTGGTTTCGAAAATGAATGACCAAGTATAAAGAACATTGTTCTCATCAATGATGTGTTCGAGAAAATAGTTATAGTCATGTAAACAGTACAGATAGATCTTGGCCTTGATGCAGCCTGCTATTTTGCATAAACTTTAAACGAGATTTACAACTTTAAACAAATTTTTACTCATTCCTGCAAGCAAAATATATACTGCATGTGCATAAAGAAACCAGGGGAGATGATTGATCAATTATGTAATATCATTCATGTGCAAAATTTATTTGCATCACATGATACGTATAGAAGTATGCCACATGTTAACACGTTAAATTGTCTAAACAAAGTCCTATCGATGAAATAAGAATTATCATTTTCAGTTATAACACGCGAAATTGAGCACAGCTGATGGCAATAAATGGTGTTCTCTATTAACTGAGGATAGCTAGAGTTATGCATCATGCTCAATAATATGTACTTGTTCCTGGCTACCTCAACCTCGAAAACTTGGATGAAGAAGAATTCTTGATAAGGCTATCCGATTAAAAATATAGTCCCTAAAGTGCATCCAGATGCAGTTTTCACCCAATGTCTCGTCAAATATGATAAATCAAAGAATATATAACTAAGTTATATTAAATATTGCTAGTAGAGAACCTATAATTACCAGGAATTCTAGTTAAATATTTCAATAATTTCTAATTATAATGACGTCGCATGTGCACATGAATCAAAAAAAAAAAAAAAGACAAGAAGGGGCGTGAGCAGCAAACTTCAGAATGTAACAGACTAGTAAGACAGCATAATTTAATGGATGGTCTACAAGAATTTTAAAATCGTCTATCGAACCAAGTAGTTATGTTACTTTTACATCACTAATTGAACAGATTTTAACCCCCGATGAATCTCTTCACAATCAACTTGTGTGGTCAAATTCTTTGAATACATCACTTGTTACAATGTTATCATATTTGCAATGCAAACTTGTTGATAGATGAAATATGGGAAAAAGGAAAAGAAGTAAAAGCTAACATACCCTATATTCTGCAAGACTGTCACGGAAAAACGAAGAACCTTCCGACGGTTCGGCTTTCAACGGGTCGAGACTCCGGTATACATCCACGTAGATTTCCTCTATTTTTTGTGAAATAGACTTGAACTGCCTCAACGGAAACAGATTAAATTCATCAATTTATCGCACACAAGTAAGCAACACACACAAAATAAGCACAATTGACAACTTCCACAAGCACCAACACCATTATTAATTTTTTTTTCGCACAACAAGTACATAAACTGAAGTTATTGTTTTCCGATAACTTACAGCAAAACGGCGGCGGCCACCAGCTGTGTTGAGAGACTTTACTGCCATAGCATCTGAATGAGTCGCCATGTTTGAGAGCTCGGTTGATTAGAAAGCGAGGGAGTATCTCTTCTAGGGTTTAAGGAAGGAGAGGCTTGGATTTTAGGTGAAAGAGTTGTGCGTGATTTTTTTCCCTCCGTGTGAGGAAAAGGGTGGCGGAAGGGGTTTAGGGCGGTTGAGTTGAGACGCGAGATAGAGCGTTAAAAGGAGTGTTTCGAGTTTCGACTCCGGCCCTAAATTAATCCGACTCTATAAATAGGTAATTTGCATCTTTTTCCTTGAATTATGTTTATTTGACAACCAAGCCCAAAAACATATTTGAGACAAATTAATCCACCACCCTCAATTATGATTTATCACAACCACGTCCTCAAATATTTAAAATTTAGTTTCCACCTCCTTCAACTATGATATATGACAACCACGTCCTCAAATATTTAAAATTTGGTGAGCTTCTCCATTAGCAACTGTTAGCCATAATCTATAAAGAAGGGCAAAAGGCAAATAGGCACATGATAAGGGCACTTAATTCAAAAAGGGACATCTAACTTTTTTGTCTTATAAATATTTCCAGTTCATTCAAACTTATTTGCAAATAAGGAAAACTCATATATATATATATATATATATATATATATATATATATATATATATATACACCAAAATTACCCCTAATTCATTGAAACTCAATTCAACTCCAATTTTATAATTTACACTCTCATTTAGCCCAATTTCACCAATTAACCAATTTTGAACCTAATTTCAATTTTAACCCCAATTATGACCCGCCACTAGGGCTGTGCGTTGGTTGGTTTGCTTAAAAACCAGCTATAAAACCAACCCAACTCATCCAACCAACTTTGGTCAATATTGGAAACCGTTATCGACCCAATTTATATGGGTTGGGTAATGGTTGAAAACCAATTTAATGGGTTGGTTGGTGGTTTGGTTGATGGGTCATCCATCTAAATATTTTTTAATTTTTTTTTATATTTTATTACTTGTTACAACGCTATATCTGTTATAAATTAAATGCGACTAGTTCAACAATATTCAAATAAAAGATTCAAAACATTACAGTCATATATATTGCAATTAAACATAAATAGTTCAACAAATAATAATCGTCCAAATATTTAGACTATATGTCTTCAAATTAAAATAGTTCAAATTAGATAATTAGGTTAGATTTATTGCTTTTAGGATTTTGGTCAATATTAGACAATTTAATAAATGTGATATATAACAGAAATTTGAAATTAAAAGTATTAAATATTTTAATTAAAATTAATAAATAATAAATTAATGAATAAAGTTGGTTGGCCGATATTAACCGACTAACCAACTTTTTAGCATTTTAGAAACCATTATCGACCCAACTATACATGGGTTGGTTGACATTATCGACCCAACTTAAATGGGTCGGTTGATGGTTGATTAACCATCACAAATTGTGGGTCGAAAATGGGTTGGTTGGTGGTTAAAACCGATCCATGCACAGCCCTACCCGCCACCACCGGAGACCGCCGTTGACTTTTTTTTTTTTTGAATTTTTAGAAATTTTTTTCCGGTAGGTCAACCGTCGGGTCTCCGGCGTTGGCTTTTTTTTTCTTTTTTTTTTTGTTTTTTCTTACAAAAAATATTTTTAATTAATATTACTGTCTTGGCTGCTAAATTACGGTCTCCAACAGTTATTTAACTATCGGATACAGTAATTTAACTGTTAATTGACCATTTTTTTTCCTTAAAAAAATATTTTAATTAATATTACTGTATTGGCTGCTAAATTACTGTCTCCAACAGTTATTTAACTGGCGGAGACAGTAATTTAACTGTTAATTGACTTTTTTTTCTTAAAAAAAATATTTTAATTAATATTACAATCTATGACTGCTAAATTACTGTCTTCAGCAGTTATTTAACTGTCGGAGACAGTAATTTAACTAATTGACTTTTTTTTTTCCTTAAAAAAAAGTATTTTAATTAATATTACTATCTTTGCTCCAAATTACTGTCTTCAACAGTTATTTAACTGTCAAAGACGGTAATGTAACTGTTAATTAACTTCTTCTTTTTTCTTTTTCTTTTTTTATTTTTTTTGCTTGAAAAAAATATTTTAATTAATATTACTGTCTTGGTTGCTAAATTATTGTCTCCAACAGTTATTTAACTGGCGGAGACAGTAATTTAATTGTTAGTTGACTTTTTTTTCATAAAAAGAGTATTTTAATCAATATTATTGTCTTTGCTCCAAATTACTGTCTCCAACAGTTATTTAACTGTCGGAGACAGTAATTTAACTATTAATTGACTTCTTTTTTTTCTTTTTTTTTATAATTTTTTTTCTTAAAAAAATTATTTTAATTAATATTACTGTCATGGCTGCTAAATTACTGTCTCCAACAGTAATTTAACTGTCTTATGCAATGATATTATTATTTGGACAGTAATATTACTGTTCGGAAAAATGATATTCATAATATTACTGTCCCAAACAGTAATATTATTGTCTTAAACAGTAATTTAGCAGTCAACGCCGAAATCTGGCCGGAAAAATAAAATTCAGAAAAAAATTATTTTCTGGAAAAAAAAAATATTTTTTCAAAAAATTATTAAAATGGGGGGTTAATGTGATATATTTGTTTAAATCCGGAGTCAATGTGTAATATTGAGAAAGTTAGAGCATAATGGATGGAATTGACAAAAATTATATTATTGAAGGTATTTTTTGACTAAAGACATGGGGATGTGTTTTATTTGAAAGGCTGTTTATTTTGTGGACCAATGTGCATTTAAGTCCCTTGGGATGAGCCATTTTGCCATTCGCCCTAAAAGAAAGAAACGATAGGACAATTTAAAAAACTCTAACGATATACTTTGTAAAAAAAAAAAATTATATATTATTATTGTTGTTGTTGTTGTTGTTGTTGTTGTTGTTGTTGTTGTTGTTGTTGTTGCTGTTGTTGTTAATTCTCATAATTTGTATAAATATATATATTAATACCGATGTATAAAAGAAAGAAACGATAAGGGCAACCCTGATGACATTTTGTAATTATATATTTTTAAATATTCTTCTCTCTACTAAGTTTCTAATTATTAAAATTTCAAAATTATAGAATTCTTTTAACACCAATCACTTATTTTTCGAGCATACATCTCTAAATACATTTACACGTTTTCTTTCTTTAAATTTCGGCTTTATTAATTGCTTCATTTCTTTAACGATCAATTTCATTTTGTGACAATTAAGTTAATATGATCGTTTGTGGAGTGGGTTTATACTATTAGGTTTGTGTGAATAATGTAATTTAAATATGACTAATAATTTTTATTATTACAGTTTAATATTTTTATTTTTATTTTATCATGTTTTTAAATGATGATTTTTCCACTTTTGAATTGTTATCCCGTACATTGCACATGGAAAATTACTAGTATAAATTATAGTAGTAGCAATAAGGGGCTTTACCTCGTAAATTTTGTTTGGCTAGTTTTGTATACGATTAGTACTATATATAAATTGGACATTAAGTCGTCCATCTTAAGTTTAGTTTACAATTAGCTTCTTAACCCATGCAACTGCACATTGTGTGAACAGAGACATAGTGTATAAATAAAGACATATCGTGTCGTTCACTCAATATCGTGTATGAATAAATAAATATATCATGTTTTGATTGTTGCTGCAAAAATGGGCCCCCATAAGTAAAATTCTGAGAAGAACACTCGATGCTCCCCATATAACTTCACAAAAGAAATGAACACTATCAAGTAGAAGATGCCTCTACAATTGAATACTCTAAAGTTAAATACGTTTGGGCACTTCCAGAAACAAACGAGTTCGTATTTGGGAATGGTAAAAATGAATAATTAGATGGAGGAGTGTGGTTGGCAAATTATTATAGTTTGGGGGAGGTAGATGCCAAAACTTTAAATATTGCATAATTGCTAAATATTCATAATCTACGGGGGATAATGTGAAATAGTTTTCATCAACGGGAAACTTTGAAATATTTGTGGTCTGGTTGTCAAAAAACATTGTTCAGGGAGATGGACGAAATTATACTATTTTTATGTGCTTAATATATAAATATAATGCTGAAAATATATAACAAGATGGTTCCATGGTCTAGTGGTCAGGACATTGGACTCTGAATCCAGTAACCCGAGTTCAAGTCTCGGTGGAACCTTGTTTCTTTTGCATTTTTTTTTTGCCGGCACCGGCCGTTCACCCACAATCACAATTCACACACCCAGTTTTATTTACAAAGGCCAAAAACCCTCGCGCATCAGTTAACTGAATAACACAATTCTTCATTTTGTTTTTGCCGATATTCATACACAGAGAGAGAGGGATGGACGAAGAATGCCTAAACGAATCAAAACGGCGTAAAATCGAAGATACAGTTTTCCAAATCCTCAGATCATCGGATTTGGAAACAACCACAGAGCTCAGCGTCCGTGCCGCCGCCGCCGAACGCCTAGGCTTCGGCCTCTCCCATTCGACCCAGCGCCGTCTCGTTCGGCAGCTCGTCGACTCCTTCCTGCTCTCCACTGCCGCCGCTATACTCTGTCCCTCGTCGTTGCATACGAATAGCGCCGTCACTAATAATAATGACGGCAACGCACTAAACCGTGGGAAACAGCATCAACGGAGTGGTTCCGGGGTTGATTCAGAAGGGAACTACGATGGCAAAGCGATTTGTAAGGTTAGCTAAATTCGTTTATTATATCTTAAATTAGACTTGTAAATAGAATGCGGTTTGATGAATGAATTGCAGATGTTTGTACAGAAGATCCGTTTCGTTATGTTTTCTGTTGGACGATTCTTCTGAAAATGTTTGTTGTTAAAAGGTGGCTCAGGGGTTTTAAGTTGGAATTGTTGATTTCATTTATGAATTACGACTGTTGCCAGCTCAACGAAGTTGCTCATTGTTTGTATTGTTCAGTAGTTAATTATTTGGTTGCCTTATGGTCCTATATTTAATTCTACAGAATTGTATCATGTCTAATATGGTGGGCATTGTCTTAAGACAGTTGCGTTTCTTCCCTGTCAAGAGTTCGTTCAGATGTATGGAAGCTGATATATAAGTAAACATATGTATACAGTTTATGCAATACAGAGTCGGGGCTGCATTTTCAACTGAAGAATGAGTGGTTAACTGTAGTTTGATGAATGGTCGACTATTGCATATCTTGATACACTTGATATAACAAATGTGGTTTGCAATTTAGTTTATAATAGTTAAATAATCAGCACTCCTCTTGCTGGGGAAGAAGTATGACGATAAGAATGACCGGAAAAAGATTGCATAAGGAAAGAATTTGCAAACGCAAATGCTCGCGTTTCTAGGGGACTGAAAAAATCCGATCAGGCTTAATAAATGAATTTGATCGTCTACGTATTTATCTTGTCCTATTTATTACATATGCTTGTTTTTCCCATATTGCTGGTTGTTTCGATGTGCAGTTATCAGATAAGAGGAGGGTGACAGTTCGTGACGTAAATGGGACAACTATGGTCTCAATCCGTGATTTCATCATAAAAGATGGAAATATGGTTCCTCAAAAAGGTGAGCTTCTCCATTAGCAACTGTTAGCCATAATCTTCAATGTATGAATTATAGTTTCGGGCCCGACGCCCAAATTAAGTTTCAATAGATGTTTCTTACAAAGTAAAATCGAGCTTTAAAAACTGTAATCTGCTAAATAGGTATCCTCACCGAAAGAGTAATTGCTAAATTTCTGAATCCGTATATTGCCATTCCTTGATGAGTGATTTTATCAATTTCGCATCGCCACATCTGTTGATCTTGATCTTTCTGATTTAATTTAACAAAGCTTAGCAACTGAGCATAGACTATAGTTTGGATTCAAGGCCGTCTCATAATTTTGAGAAGTCTTTGCTGTTAATATATTGCATGTTGCATGTGAAATATCACATGGTATTGTTGTTATGATCGCCTATACTTTTGATAACTATTCACTAGTTCTATACAAATTTTCTTGAAGATGCTCTGCTTATTATTTGAGAATGGATGGCTTGCTTTTCTGGTTTGCAAAAAGAGGTGCTTCTATATGTTGGGCTTTTTCCTTCTATGTTCTATATGTTACTATCGTGAGTTTTATTGAAACATGTACTGCATAAAATGAACCTAATGTGGAAATTCAGGAATGTGCTTGACGGCTGAACAGTGGTCAACCTTCCGGAATAACTTTCCTTCTATAGAGGAAGCCATTGTCAAAATGGAATCACAGTTGAGGTCAGACTTCCCTTTCCTTTTCTTTCTTTTTTGGGGGTTGTGGGGGTGGGGGGTGGGTACAATAAAAACTGGTTCCTGCTCAATCGGTAGTCAAAAGATGTAGAGAGATGTTAGACACACTATCATGGTTTGAGATTGATTAGTAGTTCACTGTTTTATTCTTACGTCAGGCGAAAAAATGCTGTCCATCCTTCGGATAATCTGAACCGATTATCCGAAGCAGTTGCATTACAAAGCGAAGCAGAGAGAATAAATTCAGCGGGAGACTCTGCTCTTGATAGAAGCCAAACCAGGGATGGCATTTCTAACTCGAAAGACACTTTTCATTCTCCAATTGAGAGGAACCAATCTGAAAGTGAAGCTGAGAAAAAACAAACACAGGCCGGCATTTCTACTCAAGGACAATCACATTGTTCGGTTAATGCAATTCACTCCGGACAACTAGTTCCCATACAAACTGCTCGTCTAGATGGAAGAAACTATCATTCATGGAGGCATCAAATGGAATTTTTCCTCCACCAATTAAAGATTGCCTACGTGCTCTCCGAGCCTTGCCCTAGTTTCGACGAAAAAGTCAAAGTCAAAGATGCTCATAGCAAGTGGAAAGACGATGACTACCTATGCCGCCACAGCATTTTGAGTTCCCTCTGCGACAATCTATTTCAACTGCACTCGCAAAAGAGCTGCTCCGCCAGAGAATTATGGGAGGAACTCAAGTTATTTTACGAAGATTTCGGAACAACAAAGAGGTCTCAAATCAACAAGTACATTCACTTCGAAATGGCTGACGGGGTATCGATTCTCCAGCAGGTCGAAGAGCTCCACAAGATGGCAGATTCTATTATAGCTTCCGGAAACTCCTGGATAGACGAGGACTTTCACGTTAGTGTGATAGTCTCGAAGCTCCCGCCTTCCTGGAAGGAGCTTCGTGTTAGGTTAATGCAGGAGGAGTATTTACCTATCAATGTTTTGATGCATCGTATTCAGGTTGAAGAAGAGTCTCGTAAGTGGTGCTACAATAAAGAGAGCAGCGCATATTACAAACAAGGGCGTTCGGTGGGTCCCACTGATAGTAGACTTGGGATGAGAAAAAGGGAAAATAGGAGATTTTGCCATAGATGTGGCAAAGAGGGACATGTTATCAAGAATTGTCCAGATAAGAAGTTCGATGCCGGTGGAAAGAGCGGTGCGAAGGAAAACGAGGTTTTGTCGTCTCCTCCGCTTACAGACAATAAAATGGTTGATGAAGGAAATGCAAAGTAGAGCATTGTGGTACTACAGGTTTGTCTGAATCTCATGCTTTTGCAAATTTTGTGACCCTTTTTTTATGCCTTTTTAATTTTTGTCTGACTTAACAAGTTTCTTGTAATTATTTGAGACTTGATAAGTGTAATGTAGTTCAAGGAGTCTTATAAACAATTGGATTATATCAAAGTAATTGTTGTTTAAGGTTTTGCAATTATTTAAAAACTAATAAATATGTTTAATACTTTAATTTTGAGGAAGGATTTATAATAGGACTAAATTACCCTTCCAACTAATTTTAATTTTTTATTGATTACTCTCTCCCGCTACTGTATGTAGGTCTAGGGTGTTAGTTACTTTGAATTCAACTCACGTTGGGAGCTGTTAATAAATAGGGAAAATTACGGTCAACCCTGAGTTAAGGTCAAATTACAAAAACACCATTTATGTTTGGGTTATTACATCCACCTCTCAACTATGTATTATCTTACGAAAAAACTCCTCGAGAGGTAAAGTTAAGGATGTTAATTCGGTAAAAAAATGAACTAAAATTTTGGTACGCCAACATTTCATATCGTTTACCGAACCGAATATACGATTTCGTTTGGTAAATATTCGAATTAAGTAAATTTTATTGAAAATATTTAAAAGAAAAGGGGTGGCTGTAATTACTCAAACAAGAGGGGTTTAATCATAATTTAACCTTCGCTCACCGGTGGCCGTAATTTGCCCTAATAAATATGTTTCTCATGTTTAGTTATCAACCAATCACCTGCATTAGTCATACTAGATGGTAGGTTCACATTTCTTTATTCTTAAACCTGTTTATTAAATTGGTACTGTATATTAATATTATTTCATGATTTAAATAATTATTAGTAATTAAACATTTACATGTATTTTATTTTTTGGATTTCGAATTTCAAGAACCTTAAAAGAAACAAAAACAAATGAAATTTCAGTCACATGTTTTATGCAACTTCATCCACACTTTTTTAAGTACTACTTTTTTCACGCGCGTGCAGGCACACATATCATGTGAGTAATAATTTTATTGGTGTGATGAATGGTGCAAGTTGTATGCCCATATCTTAGTCACGAATAATTAGTGAAAGCAAATCATAGTAATTTCATGAAATTTATTGACTTTGGTTGACTTTTTGAATTTAAATATAATTGCAGGATTAAATTAAAGTTGAAAAAACAATCAAGAAACAACCTAGTAGTGGTAAGCACTAAAGTATCAATTCTACTACACAAACCTTCTTCATAGTTGTTCTTTATTTTCGGTATTCAACACGTTTTCAATATATTTTCTTTGCTTTGCTTTCTTACACACGACTTTTCAACATACTTGTTCACATGTGCTTGTCAATTTTCATTGAAAAATAAATAATAATAATAATTCTATAGTAAAAAAAGTCAACAATCAATCTAATTTCTTCACATGAGCAATATCAGAGAATTGAAATCTTACCCAACATTCAACTCTCAATTCAACCACCACCACTTAATTCAACTCCCCCATTCCATTACAACATGTGAACATAGTTGTAATATATTATATATATATATATATTCTTGAAACTAAATTTACCATATAAAAAAAACAGTTGCAAGAACAACAAGATAAGAATAAGGTCTCTAAATTTTCATAAATTTAATAAAATACTGCAAAATAGGTCCTTATAACATAAAATGTATAACACTATAAACAAAATAGAAACTTTTGCTATTACTATAATTGATCTAAAGATAAAAACTTTTTTCTCCCCCCACCCCCCTAATTCTAGCATTAGCTGCAGTATACCGATATCTTTTCCTACAACGAGTTGGAACCGCGCGAAAACGCTTCTATCATCTTCTCTTTCGTCAGTCGGTCTGAACCGTTCGATTTCACCACAAATGTGTGGAACACTCTTTCGCTCCCGGTTGCCATCTGTGCGTCAACGATATTCCCACCAGCATCTTTTATCGCCCGTATAACCCTCGAGGCAGGGTGGGCCCCAACCGGGCAGCTAACCCTAACGGTGACTTTATCACGGCCCGCTTCAACTTCAACCCTCGAACCCCATTCTTGAACTTCTAGAACGTTCTTATTACTAGCTTCGGAAGCTGAGGCTTCTCCTCCTCTTTCGGACTCCATATCCTTCACCTTCCTCTGAAGCTCGGTGATGTAAGCGATCGCATCACCTAGGAGCGAAGCTTTGTCCATTTTTGAAATATTCGGCACAACCGCTCGAAGAGCGTAGAATCTCTGGTTGAGCTTCTCTCTCCTTTGCCTCTCTGCTTCAACGTGATTGAGTGGCTCTTCTCTTCCATTCGCCGGCTTTCGGCCCCGTTTTCTCGGTTTTTTGTCCTCTAGTAATAATACCCCAACGGGCTCTTCCAATTTGCATGAAGCCGCTTCGATATCCGAATGCTCGGATTCAACACTTTGTGGACGTGATATAACCGACATTGAGCTTGCCCCCGTGGCGTTACCGTAATTTGAATTTGTCCATGCTGAGGGGTGAAACCCATTCCGAGTCGGCATCCTATTCCCGTTCACGTCAGCATCGGCATCGCGATTCCGACCGTCCACCTTTTCCATAATTTGCGGCCTAACCGCATTCAATTCCTGCCCGAAAATCTTGGTTGTAACGGTTTCTTGGCGTGTAGCGGCGACCGGATTAGAAAAGATTCCGTTGGAAATAGAATCTTTTTTCATGGGCCCCACCGCCGCCACTTGCTTATTTCTACTACTTGAAGAAAACGAGGATCCAATCGCATTCAAGACCTCCGAATTTTCAGCTATATATCTCGCGGATCCCAATTCAACAACACCAACGTCAGTTGGAATCAAGACAATTGTTTGCATGCCGGCCGACTTTGCGAGAAACGACCTAACGCAGTAATCGACAGGTGTCACCATAGCATTGGTTAACCACACATACTTGCTCGATCCGAAGCATTTTCCGGGCCCACCAACACCCCTCGGGAAAGAGAAGTACATAGAAGCCAAGAAGAACATCTCCGTATCGGTAACCTTATCCAATCCAAAGGCATAACTGTCCTCATCGGTTCCTCCGAATAAAGTGTGCATCCTCTGAAGAACCCTTTTCCTCATCCTCTGAAGGGATTCGTCTTCGATTCTTGATTTAGGGTTTCGAGTGAATTCGGAACCCTCGTTTTCTCGCGGCTCTCTGCAGCATCCGTCGCCCCACCCCAAGACAAATTCCCCCGATTTAGACCTCGAAAGCTGCCAGAAGATTGCGTAATTCCAAGAAATTCTGGTGGGATGTTGATGCTCCACAAGATCTGAAAGCTTGTTCTGCAAATTTTCGTTGTTTCCTATCGCCATTAATGAACACTCAGCAGAAACAGAGCTTGAGATTAAGTAGTCAAAAGCCTTTGTCCCCAAAACCGCCGCCGCCGTGGCCTTATCCTCATTGCTCCACCCAACACCGCCCATACCTAATCCCAATTTCATCTCCACCCTCAGCACCACCACCACCACCACTCTCTGAACTTCAAAATCCCAAAATTGCAAAAAAACCCTCACACAATCACACTCTTTCTTGATTGAATTTTTTCTTTCTTTTTCAAAAATCAGATAAACCCAACCAAGAACATGTCTAATAAACCAATCCAACACCAACCCATCTCAGCTTTTCCAATAAAAATTCAATCTTGGAATACAGACAACCCAACCCACACCTCTTACTCTCAGATCTCAATTGTTCCAAATCTAGACAAACATGCATGAAAAAAATCACAAAACCAAGGATTATTACATGTAATTAAAACATGGAATTAAAAAAAAAAAAAAGAAAGAAAATTTACTCACCGCTGTCATAACTGATGAACTTTATTTAGCAAATGATCAGACGAAGCAAGAACCTTCCTTTTTTTGCCTGTTTTCTATTTTTATTACAAGAGTAGAAATTTTTTTTTGAAGAGGTGAAGGGTGTGTATGTATCTGTATCTATCTATATCTGTTTTTGTTTTGTTTTGTTTCTGAAAGATTTCAGTCTGTGCCAAAATTGCTGCATGTGTATGAAAGTTTTGGGTTCGAGGTTTGCAGAAGAGTAGTGTAAGTAACCATGGTTAGGTTGTGAGCAGTCGGCAACATTTGTTTTTTACAGTTTTCTCCTTCTCTCTATCCTCTTTCTACTAACTGTGGGTCATATGCTTATCTGTGCTGTACATTCATATTTTTTATTTATATATTTATATATTTTTTGAAAAATATTTATTGCAACTTGCAAAAATATATATAGTTAAAAAAATATATATAATAATTACTAAATTAATTATCAAACCTTCAATTTCCAAAATAAAATGGCGACATAGCCAAAAGAGGTCAAACATAACCGTACATCTTTCATCTTTCTAAGACATCTCACTAACTATTTTAATCACATGATAATTTAAAATAAATTAATTAATCATTCAGTTGGGTCTAGAAAAAGAAAGGAATAAATATATTCTTCAAATGAAGTAATATATTACAACCTAGAGTCACATTAAATACTTTTTATAGAATGAACCAAAAATAGTATTTACTATTTACTCTGAATTTTTTTTGACATTTTTATATGGGAATTATACTTTTTTCAACTCCATGTAGAAATAAATATTCACGCACTAATAGTAGCTTGGTTGATGCAGTAAGAAAAGTGTGGCGTTTACTAATTCTAGTTCGATTTATGTTGCTAATGTCTACAACGATGAATGTGTCACATACGAATTGTCAAATTTGATTTAAATTTTGTATGATTTAGATGTCATTGTATGAGAATGGTATTTATCTCGTGCATATATACGAATGTGACTTACTTAGTAAAAAAAAATACTCTTTTTGTTCATAAAAATATGTGTCGCTATTCATCTCGTGCATATATACGAATGTGACTTAGTAAAAAAAATACTCTTTTTGTTCATAAAAATATGTGTCGCTATTCACTTTTGCGTATGTCTTGAGAAACTCAATAAATATGTATTTGATTTAGAAAAATAGATATTGTTAATGTAGGTAAAGTATTAAAGAGTTAATAAAGGCAAATTTAAGAAATACGTAATGAATGTAGTATTACAAATCTGAAGTGATATAACAAAGAAAAATTACTAAATATTACATTATTGTGAAACGAAGAGAGTATTCTGCAAAAAATTTGTCGTTCGTTATAATATAAATTAAGAAGTGGATGTAGGAGATGGGGAGGAGTGGTAGGGGCAAGACAACTTAAAGAGAAAGTGACTCAACAAATTTCATCTTTTATTATTATTTATTTATTTCATTATTTTGTTTTATAATTATCTATTTGCCCCCTCAAGTTTCTTAAAAAACTTAAAAGCAAAAAGGAGTCCTAGGATTCACTGTAATCACCTGATAGAGGTTTAGAGACAAATTAATCAGCTTTATTAGGACTTTAATTATTAATTAATTGAGTAAGATATAAGATTGCATATGATTCCAAAACCGTTTATCAATTAATCTAGTGTGCTTAAAATTATAAATGTTTAAATCCTAAAAGTATTATTTAATTTGACCTTTCAGGAGCAACTGTGGGTCCCACTCTTCAATGTGTTTGATGCAACACATGATAGATTCAATAATTGGATCCTTAATTTTTAGTTAAGTAGTATTTGGTGATTTGTTTAATATTATATTTGAATCCATGTTAAGCACAAGCTTACCAAATTCCAACTATAGTTACTGTTTTGCTTAACCATAGTTAACGATTAGATTTTAATAGTAATAAATAAAGAATAAGACAACCATACGAAAGTTCTTATTCAATTTTTAAACTCAGAACTTTAGCAGTTTGTTCGTAATAATAATTAATGATTTAATAGAAAAATAGAAGGCCATTTTCGGAAACGGTAAAAGGGGTGATGGGAGGAAAGTCGACGCGCGGCGGCGCGTGGCACATAATAGGACACGTGTGAATTTGTTAGCATGATAGTTGTTAGTCACACGTTTCACAAGGAAAAAAAAAAAAAAGAAAAAAAAAACCTCGAAATGAACGGCGGTGGAGAGGTTCACGTGAAGGGGGTGTACGATGGCGTGTGTGAAGCACGTGAAGTGCATTCAATTTAATTTAACGTTTTTCACTTATTTCCCGGTCGGTAACTCTCTGCGCCTTTTCTGAACGTGTTAGGCGTGTGGCTTTATTACGCACCTCACTCTTTTCTTTTCTTTTTTTTTTTTTTTTTTTTTTTTTTAAGATAAACATATATAGTAGTACTATACGATGTTAGAAAATGACATGTCAGCCCAACCTCTGAATCTAGGCCCAATATGTATAACAAGGAAATCATTCGTTTATGAAGGTAGTTGGGCCTAAGTTTTTTTTTTTTTTTTGGTAATGCAGGAACCCGCAGCCAACCATATAGGTGCACTGGGTAAACCTACACTCTCGTATAATAGCTTGCAAACCATACGAGAGATGTAAACCACACTAGGCTAACCATGTGTGACAAGCTCGACCTAGCGACCGTTGACAAGGGGATTCGAACTTGGGTCAATTGACCCAAGCTCCCTTGCTCCAACCGCTAGGCCACCCTTGCGGGTTAGTTGGGCCTAAGTTGATTTTTCTTGAGGTTGGTTGTGCATATTTTATTGGGGGAATTACAATCACCTTCATAAACCTCTTATGTTTGTGTAATTATAACCGATCCCTTTAATTATAAATTTTATTACACGTTTACCACTGTTGTGTAAAAATTTAGTAGAATCTTCGAGATTATATGGAATATTTTCAAATTTGTACCCATTTTATCCCATTCGAGCTCCACATATTGAAACAAGATGATCATAAAATGTGTTTTTTGGCTTGTGTATATCAGATCGTGGTGCATCATAAACTGTATTTTTGCACAAAACGAGTACAAACTAGAGAACGTTCCACGGAATCTAGAAAATTATGTTGAATTTGGGATCATAAGAGTGAACGCGTAAGAAGATTCATGGTTGAGGAGGGTAAATGTAATTATCCAAGCACGAGGGTTTTATTTGTAATTTAACTGTATCTCAGGGGTGTGGTTGTAATTTACCCTATTTTATTTGTTGATGAGGGTAATTATGTCAATTCATACATGTAACTGAACTCGAGCACACTTCCATCATTTGGTGTTGGGAATTGGTGATTGGAAGTGTCCAAAATAGAATTCACACCGTTCACGTGCTAGTTGGGAGACTTTTCATGCAACAACACGCGCCCACCACACCACTGCGGGTCCCACTCGACACGTGATGAAAAAGCATGAAAGAGCCATCAAACCTACTAATAACACGGTTAAGCTAATTAATTATAAGAATTAAAACATAATTACGATACGAAACAACACGAATTTCTTTAGTACAATGAGTGTAATGTTGTCCGGAACGACGATAGAAATTCGATAAATTAATAATCTCGTTAAAATAATATTTTTCCGAGTCTCAACTTGACGTAAGTCGAACTAGAAAGTTCGTACATAATCTAACCAATGCAGTTTACACTTCTCGTGTTGTTTACGAGATACTGCACTAAAACGAGATGTATCCAATGCAAATACGTGACTACGGGTTCCTTGCCACAAATTATTAATAAGTTTATATGTAAATATATGTTTTATTTATTTAAAAATAAATAAAAGAATTCTCATTTATTTGTTACTTTATATAAAAAAATATAATTGGAGAATGAGAAAATTAAGACATAATAAAAACTCCATTAACTTATGGATTGATTAACATTTATTATATATAAAGAAATATTATAAGTTAATAGACCTTTAACTAGGTAACTAGATCACAATAACTAATGTAGATAACTAAATCATACTAATATCATAATATTACAAGAATTCTATGGTTTGATTAGCATGGATTATATATAGAGAAATATTATAAGTTAATAGAGTTTAACTAGATAACTAAATCATAACTAATATAGATAACTGAATCATACTAGAATCCTAATAGTACAAGAATTCTATAATATATCATAAACTATTAAATTCTATTACTTGTATTATTATTTCACAAGGTTCCATCATATAATAATAAAACCAAACAAATATAAAATCGATGACTTATTTGTAAGGAATTGGGCCCGAATCCAAAAATTAAATGTCCTTCGGATAAGCAAAACGGGCCTTTTAACTCTTTAATTTTTTTTTCTAAAAGCCCAATTAAAGGTCTATAAATACATATTCCCCAACTTTTTTCAAATTTCTGCGCAAAATCCATCAACCCTTCCCTTTCGTTTTTCTATTGTCTGCAAAATCGATCATCTCTCTCTCTCTCTCTCTATCTCTCTCTCTCTCATCTCTCTCTCTCTTCACGTACATACAAGCGCATGTATCTATCTACAATTGATGCACATAGGCACAATCTCGACTGATCGTTTTCTGGAATAGCGTTCGGGAATATAGCTTTTGAACCCTAGTCACAAACCCTTAAAGCAGACGCGAGATAAAAATGGAGTGGAACCCCGAAACCCTACAATTCCTCTCACAATGCTTCCTCAACACCCTATCTCCGCTGCCGGAGCCCCGCCGCCGCGCAGAAGCGGCTCTGGCTGAGGCCGCCGATCGTCCTAACTACGGCCTGGTAGTTCTTCGGCTGGTTGCCGAGCCCTCCGTCGATGAGCAGGTCCGCCAAGCGGCAGCTGTTAACTTCAAAAACCATCTGAAAGCGCTTTGGTCCGTTCAGCCCGACGACGGAGCACAAATCTTTGTACCGAAGCTGGAAAAGGAACAGATTAAAGCTTTGATTGTCACTCTAATGGTAAATACCTCACCGAAAATTCAATCTCAGCTTAGTGAAGCTTTGTCTATTATCGGGAAATATGATTTCCCTAAAGCGTGGGAGACTTTGTTGCCTGATTTGGTTGGAATGTTGGATAAGTTGAGTCAGGCAAATGATTATGTTTCAGTTAATGGGGTTTTAGCAACTATTAATTCGTTGTTTAAGAAATATAGATATCAGTATAAAACAAATGAGATGTTGCAAGCTTTGAAATATTGTCTTGATAATTTCGCTCAGCCGTTGTTGGAGGTGTTTAAGCGGACTGCAGGATTTTTAGACCAGGCTGTGGGTTCTGGTGCCGCAAATGCTAGGGTGCTCAAGGATTATATAGAGTCGCAGAGGTTGTGTTGTAGGATTTTTTATTCATTTAATTATATGGAGTTGCCAGAATTTTTCGAGGAGCATATGGAAGAATGGATGATTGAGTTCAGGAAGTATTTGACGGTAAAATATTCTGCTTTGGAAGATAATGGGAATGATGGGGTTACTTTGGTCGATGAGCTGCGAGCTGCTGTATGCGAGAATATTAACTTGTATTTAAAGAAAGACGAGGAGGCTTTTCAGAGATATTTAGGTGGGTTTGTGGAGGCAGTGTGGGCGCTTTTGGTGGTCGCCTCGAATTCTCCTAGTCGGGAGAGGCTGACTGTGACTGCTATTAAGTTTTTAACTACGGTTAGTACGAGTGTTCATCACACGTTGTTTGCAGGGGATGACATTTTGCAGAAAATTTGTCAGAGTGTTGTGATTCCCAATGTGATGTTAAGGGATGAGGATGAGGAACTTTTTGAAATGAACTATGTAGAGTTCATAAGGAGAGATATGGAAGGCAGTGACCTTGACACAAGAAGGAGGATTGCTTGTGAACTCTTTAAGGGAATTGCTTTGAATTATAAGGAGAGAGTTACTCAGAAGGTTTCTACTCAGGTGCAGTCTCTCCTGGCCTCGTTTGCACAGAATCCAGCCGTAAACTGGAAGCATAAAGACTGTGCTATCTATTTGGTTATTTCTCTTGCCACAAAGAAAGCTGGTGGCAGTATTATTTCCACTGATCTTGTTGATGTTGAGAGATTCTTCGGTGATGTTATTGTGCCGGAGCTGCAAAGTCGTGATGTGGATGGATTTCCAATGCTGAAAGCTGGGGCATTGAAGTTCTTCACCATGTTTAGGAATCAGATCTCGAAACCTGTTACGTTGGCGTTGCTCCCTGACGTGGTTCGCTTCCTCGGCTCTGATTCAAATGTTGTTCATTCATATGCTGCCATCTGTATTGAGAAGCTTTTTATGGTCAAGGATGAAGGGGGAAGGGCAAGATACTCAGCTGCAGATGTCGACCCGTTTCTGCTTGTGTTGATGACCAATCTTTTTAGTGCCCTTCAGAAGCCTGACTCCGAGGAAAACCAGTATGTGATGAAGTGCATCATGAGAGTGCTTGGAGTTGCCAATGTTTCGCACGACGTTGCTTTACCTTGCATCAATGGTCTCGTGTCGGTTCTAAACAGAGTCTGCGAAAACCCAAAGAATCCCATCTTTAACCATTATATTTTTGAATCCGTGGCCCTTTTAGTCAGACGGGCTTGCGAGCAGGATCCATCAATCATTACAGCTTTCGAAACTAGCCTACTTCCCAGCTTGCAGATGATCTTATCCAAAGATGTTAGCGAGTTTTTCCCTTATTCATTCCAACTTCTGGCTCAACTCGTTGACTTGAATCGATCTCCTTTACCAGCTAATTATATGGATATTTTTGCAATACTCCTCCTACCTGAATCATGGAAGAAGTCTGCAAATGTTCCAGCCCTTGTCCGTTTGCTCCAGGCCTTCCTCAGAAAGGCACCAAATGAGCTAAATCAGCAGGGGCGATTATCTAGTATCCTTGGAATATTTAACACGCTAGTTTCATCTCCTAGTACTGATGAACAAGGATTTTATGTGCTCAACACTGTGATTGAAAACCTTGGATACGATGTAGTCTCTCCATACATTAGCCATATTTGGGTTGCTCTGTTTAAACGGCTGCAGTCCAATAGAACTGTGAAGTTTATCAAGTCTCTTGTTATATTCATGTCACTTTTTCTGGCGAAGCATGGTCCGCAGAATCTTGTTGCCTCAGTGAATACCGTTCAGCCTGATGTTTTCCGTACAATTTTGGAGCAATTTTGGGTACCTAATCTTCTACTAGGGTTATATGTGAGTCTTTGCCTCCATCAGATACGAAGCTTTGGGGGAAAATGCTCGACAGCATTGTTACACTCATTTCACGGCCAGAAGAGGAAAGAGTGGAAGAGGAGCTTGATATTCCAGATTTTGGTGAAACTATTGGTTATGGTGCCACGTTTGTCCGATTGTACAATGCTGGGAGGAAAGAAGAGGACCCTGTGCGAGAAATAAACGATCCTAAGCAATTTCTGGTTGCATCTTTGGCTAATTTATCCGTACGTTCCCCTGGAACATATCCCTCAATCATTACCGAAAATCTTGAACCAGCAAATCAGGCTGCATTGTTTCAACTCTGCAGCTCCTATAACCTCACCGTTGTTTGAGGCAAACGTTTGTCCTTTGGTAAATTTGCCATTTCACATTACTGACAATCTAACTCTGTCCTTGCATAGAATTCTTGTTCATACAGTTTATTCATTTCCGACACCTAACTTGCTTTATTCTCGTTTTTCCAGGAATGATGTTTCAAATGATGAAAATTTGTCTTAGTTACGGAGTCTGGTCCTTTTCAACGTTTGTCCTTAAATATCTACTGCTCTTGCATCCAATCATCCAGATTATCAACCAAGTGTTCTTCAACATACACTTATATATAGCCTCTCTCCTTTTCGGTGCTTTTCTGTAAAGGCGATTGAAGAAACAAGTACTTTTGCTGCAGCTGAGTGTCATGTTCTAGTTGTTATGAAGGTTAGGTCTTGATATTCTCTGGTTTTGCTTTATTAATCATTTCCAGCCGTGAAATTAGTTAGTTGTGCCATGCATGATTTTGTTGCTTCAATTCAATCATGTCTCTTTCGTCTCTTCTTTAAATTAGCTTTCGGCTCAATACACGATAGTGGGATTGTGCATTGGAACTCGAAAAGTGTGACCTTAAGAAACTATTGTTACCACACTAGAATTCAAATGACATGCACATGCGTAACACAAAATTATTTGTTGTCCGAGTTCATTCTGGATACGTAGAGCAGCATTCGCACTTTCTCGTAACTTTATTTACAGTTGGGAATTATTTGGAATTTAGTTATTTTATTTTATTTTATTATATTTGTGGGAGCAGTAGAAGTGTGTTCTTACTGTTGGATGAAGAACCAAGACAGTGAGATAGATTACTTTACAAGTGATAAAAAATATTTAGAGAGGGTCAGTGCTTTAATCACATGCTAAACATGATGCTAATGACATTCATGCGTATTGATAACGTGCTCCCCTCTTTCTTCTTGCTATTTAATTATCTTATGTTAAGTACAATTTACCTAACCTTAACCCCTTTTCGTATTATTAATTTGAATCCTCCGTTTAACAATAATTGAACTCGAAATAGTTAAAATGGAGTATAAAAATGCAGACTTACGTAACTTTTAAGGCTTGTGAATTCTCAGGAACAACTCAATAATTGTGACGATTTGTCTGCTCGGTTAAACGTTTTTGTGAACGAACGGTGATGATATATTCGATTACTATCGTGTATTTGACTATTTTATTTCTGGTTTTTAATTAAGCATATTTAAAAATGTATGAATATTATGAAGTTGATGATTAGCAAAGATTAAACAATGTGACAAGTTTGTGAATGGAGAGATGAATAAAGTAGAGCAAATTTCAGTGGGGATCTAAAGATTCCCCATTTTGATTAGAGTAAAATCCAATGGTTAGGGAAGTCCCATTACAAATCAAAAGTTGGTCAAAATTGTACGGACACACAATTAGGACTTATATTATTATTATTGTTGTTATTATTTAAATAATTATCCCCAATTTATAATTATTTTATTTGAAGGAAGAAATGAAAGTAAGAAAAAGGAACCACCATTAGCTCGATTACCACTAACTCTCCCATTATTGTATTCTAATAATATATTATTTTTATTTTTTTTAATTGCTGATGTCTTTTGTTCTCTTTCTGACAACAACATGGTTGCAATTTCTTGGTCATTTCATTTGTTTTTAATTTCTTTTTTCTTTCAAATGGTATAAAATCTGGTAATCCAAATGGAATCTACAGTCTAAAGAAAACAAAAGGATCTCCGATAAGATAGGTTATTCTTGAATTATCATTTATGTTGGATTGATTAGGAGAATTTAACCTTTGAGTGGACCAAAGAGTCATTTACCATTCCATAATTAATATTAATTGCAAAATATTTATTCTCTCTTTTTTTTCCGCAAGCAGTGGAAAATAATCACTGAGTTCGAACTCACTCGACACCTTGAGTTATACAATTTATGTACGATACGAGTCCAACACAATCGTTCAGATTTAGGAGTAATCACGAAAAATATACTATTCCGATGCAACTTGGACATTTATTTATTTTTGTGAAAATCAACTTTTTAAATAGTTTATTGAAATGATAATTTAATATAATAGAGATATTTTCCTTTTGGGATTGCAAGTGGGATCTTGATTATCAATAATCTTATCATGCAATTTTTTCGAGATTAGTATTTATTAATCATGGGAGTCGAATAATAACCTTTGAAATATGTCAATGTAGTTGCTTAATTAACACAAGATGCAAAGTAGGAATCATATTCTTCCGGATTTTTTTTTCTTCAATAATGTGTTTAATATACTTAGTTGCGATAATTAGAACAAAATAATAATAATTATATAATTAATACATATTATAACCATAAGATGTAATAATGAAGGAGTTTTGAGGGTTGTCTCAGTTGGTAGAGTTTGTTTCCTGTCCAATGTTAGTGAAACATTTTAGATTAATAAGACTATGATTTGGATTCCACAATACCAATAATTAATTCTTTTTTTGTCCTATAATTATTCTCATCCGTGCGCCCATTAAAGTTAAATATAAAAATACAAAAAAATATATTAATTTAACAAAAAGATTGGTCCCTGTCACACACTTTATAAAGTAACATTTCTTTTATATAAACATTTTTAATTATTAATAATAATTAGGATTTCTTAGTACAGCCTTCTATTTTATTTGATTCTTCAATTTAATTTAAAATGAAAAAAAATATTATTATTGTAATTTATAGTCACCCTTTTGTCATCTCCATTATTAAGGCCATTCGCCATTACTCTATGGCAAAATATTCCCAAGCCGCCTATAGAGTTATTTATTATCTTAGATATGGCTGGGTTGCAATTATTAGTGAGTCTAATTGACTATATAGTAGGTATTCTCATATTAGTAATATTTTTTATTGTCAAAATAAAATAAAAATAAAATAAATATCTACAATAAAAATTCATATTTGCTTTTTATATCTAAAGTAATAAACATTTATATTTATGTGTATATCAATGGTGCAAGATTACTGATCTATTTCATCGGGTACATCATCTACACAACCCATTGGCAAGAATATACACCAACAAAAAATAGGTGGAAATGACATATTAAATAAGACAAAATAGCAAACCTATTAATAATAAATTTCTTAATTACGATTGGTGAAAATGAGGGAACCATACAAAATACATTTATTTTGGTTACTTAGTCATCATAGGATGCCAAAATTTGGCACATACTATGGTCTACGTGTCATCATCTTTTAGACAATATTTTTTTTTTACAAAATCGAATTCATTGGGTGTTTTAAATTTTTTTTTTGTGGTAGTGACTAGTGAACTATGAATCATATTTATTTAAATTAGTTATTTGAGCTTCGTTCAATTAAATTTTGAGGATGCTGGATGCAAGATTATTTCATTTTAATCTCTCAAATCAAGAATGCTACATATGCAATTATTATGTATTGATTGGGTAGGAGCAAATCTATCACCCTAATAATAATTGAAAAAAAATTATTGTTTTAATTAAAATTGATACAAATTAAGAAGGGTTGCCAGTGGGATGAGGACATGTCAGCAACATGAACTGTGAGTCCATGTGGCACTTAGTGAACGGTGGAAGATGATGTGTCAAAGAAAAATAAAATAAAAAATATATGTGCCATCTAAATTAAAATTCTTAAAACTTTTAAAAATAATCGTATTAGATGATTAGTCTTGGATGCACGAAAACTCCTGTACGTTCGTTTTTCCACATTTTCGATTACGTTTTCGCCATAAAAGCCAACAAACCTCGTTTAAAAGTTTTTTTTTTTTTATTATAAGGTTTAGTAGAAGAAAATGTATTATCTTACATTGAATTTAATGGAAGAAACAAAAATGAAAAGAACAAAAGAAAAATATAAATTATACCAAATTACCTTTATAGCAAAAAAAAAAAAAAAAAACTTTTATTGCGTTTTTTATAACAAAAAAAAAAAAAGAGAGAGGCTATTTTCCGAACATTTAGCTCAATATTTGGTATTTGCAAACACTTTTGAAAAGTAATTATGTTTTTATTTTTGCTCGTAATAGTTTTTAATACATTGTAATAAAATAAATTGTTTTAAGCCATAATTTTGAAATCATACACGGCACTTTCTTTAGATCTTAAAATTATATTTGACATTTATGTTATTATTATTTATATTCAATCTAATTTTTAAAGACATCAATCTAACATGATAAACTGCAATTTTAAAATTTATTTTGCAATTATATTACCTTTAAATTGACTGCTTAAAGTTAATTTTTATTGACATTTACAAAAACCCCTAAAATTTAATAATTAAGTAATTATTTCCAACTTCACTAGTTTTACTTTTATACAAGGTCCCCTAAAATTTAATAATTAAGTAATTATTTCCAACTTCACTAGATTTACTTTTATACAAGGTTTTGCAAAAGCACCCTTGCAAAAATGACTTATTACCAATTTACCCAATAAACGATAACGTGTTGCTAGTATTAATATTTTATTCATAAAAATATTAACCTGCTTTTTCAACTTTTTTTTTTCTCTTGACCCACTAGTCAACTGGGGTTAAATAACTAACCCAAGGAAAGTTTGCAGCTCAAACGCAAGAAACATGATTTATTAGCCAAACACACACACACACACAGACAAAATTGCTGCAAGAAAGAAGAGAGAGAGAGAGAGAGAGAGAGAGAGAGAGAGAGAGAACAGTTGTATGTATCCTGTAAGTATAGAACGGGGTTCTTTTTGTGAATCGTAACGTTTTATTCAGGTGGGTATTGTGTGGGAGAGAGAGAGAGAGAGAGAGAGAGAGAGAGTAAAGGAAAAGAGATAATAAAATAAAAAGGAGTGGATTTTTGCAATGGAGTAAATGCAGAGAGAGAGAGGGAGAGATAAAGAGAAGAGTGGTGGTATTGCTTTTATTCAATACACTAAAATCAAATAGCGGTTTTGTAACTGATAAGTGAGAGAATATGCGCTGAATTTCTTGCATCCATTACACACATAAAA